AATATTTGCATACTTCATATAATCAATCTTATCTACATATATATTTTTATGTATAAATAATTTCATGATATGTTGTTGTGCTTTATATCACTATTTTTACTTCGTAAGTACTATAATACTATTATGTATTATTAATATATCTATTTTTTAATGATTGTCATGTTGTTTTGTTCTTAGAAAAAGAATATGGCTAAATCTGTGGATATCATTTTGAAACTATGAATGAGGATGACACTGAGTATTTATATATCACTTCAATCAATTCGGGATAAAAGTATGTGTTGAAAAAACTACTCATTCTATCATCGGGATTATATTATATTAATATCAATGTGATTGCCATAAGTTTACTGATACGTTCAAAGTTTCGCATGATCGATTGGGTCACCCGGTGCCATTATGATGAAAAAAATCATCGAAAACTTTTATAGTCATCCATTGAAAAACCAGAAGATTTTTCAATCGGATGAGCTTTCTTGTGATGCATGTTCTAGAGAAAAAATAATAATTAGACCATCACAGTCAAAATCGGGCATGAATTTTTGGAAAGTATATATTGAGTATGATTCTTCATCCATTATACGATATCTTGAGCCACAAACTAGAGATATTTTTACGGATCATTTTGTTGATTGTCATTTTAATGAAATTGAATCCTACTATTAGGGGGAAAAATTATAGAATGGTGAAAATGGAAATGATCTTAATTGATGTACACCATCATTATCCCACTTTGATCCCCCAGCAAAACAACGAGAACTAGAAGTTCAAAGGATTATATGTTTGCAGAATGTTGCAAATCAGTTACCTGATGCATTTATAGATAGAACTAGGGTAATAAGATATTATATAGATGATGCAAATGTTCCTACTCGGATTGAAATTCCGAAAGAACAAATGAAAGAAAATTCGACAAACGATTTCAAAACACGCCTGAAGCGTGGACGACCTATTGGTTTTAAAGATAAAAAACCGAAAGAGCAAAGGGCCTAAGAAAAATGAAATGCTCGATTCGGAGGAACGCGTTCCCAATTAAAGAAATGAAGTACCTTGTGATGAGGGTACAAATCCAGATAATGGAAATCGTGAAATCTCAATTAATTATATCAGTAATGGTACATTATGGAATCGAACAGAAATAAAAAAGATTGATGACATATTCTTTTATAATATATCAAAGAAAATTGATAAAAATGAGGATATAGAACCCAGATCTATTTCGGAATATCAAAAGAGACCATATTGGAATAAATGGAGGGACGCAATACAAGCTGAATTGGATTCTCTTAATAAGCGAAAGGTATTTGGACATATTGTTATTAAAATCGAAAGAAGTTTCTCTTGTTGGATAAAAATGGGTGTTTGTGCGGAAAAGAAATAAGTACAACGAAATTATAAGATATAAAGCTCGTCTTGTAGCACAAGGATTTTTCCAAAGACCAGGAGTAGATTACGAGAAAACTTATTCTCCTATTATGGATGGTATTACATTCCGATACCTACCTAGTCTTGTAGTTTCAAAGAATTTAAAAATGCGTCTCATGGATGTTGTTACTAGGGGTGTCAAACGAGCCAGCTCAGATCATTTTGGGTTCGGCTCATTTGGCTCGGATCGTTTTGGGCTCGGCTCGTTAGGCTCGTTTTCTAACGAGCCAGAAAAACCTCGGCTCAGATCGCTCGCCAATTTTCCGATCTGAACGAGCCGGCTCGTTGAGCCAAGGATATATAATATTTTTTATTTATATTTATTTTAAATATAATTATAAATTTAAATAAATACATAAAAATTTATTAAAACACCTATATCATTTAATATTTTCAATTATCACCATCATAATAATTAGTATATTTATAATATCATATAAATAATATGAAAAAAATTAATATAAAATTATATTAGAGTTTTTTTATATAAATTTAATTTATTTTTAAAAAAAATACCAGCTCGTTGAGCAGCTCGCCAGCTCGCCGAGCCAGACTCATTGAACACGTGTTCAATGAGCTCTGGCTCGTTAGGCTCGTTTTTTAATGACCTGAAAAAATTACGGCTCAGATCGCTCGTTTTCTGGCGAGCCACGAGCCAGCTCACGAGCCGGGCTCGTTTTGACACCCCTAGTTGTTACTGCTTATTTATATGGGTCACTTGACACGAGTATTAATATGAAAGTCCCTGAAAGATTTAAAATGCCCGAAACATTGAAAACAAAACCACGAGAGTTATGTGCTAGCTGTAAAGTTACAACGATCATTGTATGTGCTAAAATAATCAGGACGTATGTGGTATAAACGTTTGAGTGAGTATTTATTGAAAAATAAATATGCAAATGATCATATATCATCATGTGTATTTATCAAAAAGATGATATCTGGATTTGTGATTATTATTGTATACGTTGATGATTTAAATATTATTGGAACTCTCCGTGAAATCTAGGATGCATCCACTTATTTAAAAGGGAAATTTGAAATGAAAGATTTTGGATAAACCAAGTATTGTCTTGGGTTACAGATAAAACTTTTGAAAGATGAAGTCTTTTTACATCAATCTAATTATACAAAACGGGTACTAAAACGATTCGATATAGATAAGACAAATCCACTAAGTACCCCGATGGTTAATAGAATATTGGACATTGAAAAGGATCCATTTCGTCTTCGCGAAGATAATGAACAGATACTTGTTCCTGAAGTACCATATCTAAGTACAATAGAAGCTCTTATTTATCTTGCAAATTGTACTAGACCTGATATATCATTCGCTACCAATCTATTAGCAAGAATTAGTTCTGCCCCAATACGAAGACATTGGAATGGGGTTAAACATATATTTTGTTATCTTCAAGGATCTATTGATCTTGGATTGTTTTACCCTAAAAACACAAAACAAGAAAGTGTTGGTTTTGCAGACGCAAGTTATTTATCAGACCCACGTAAAGGCAGGTCACAAAGGTCACCACGTTACATGAGGCGAGCCGAGAATCAATGTGGTTGAGATCATTATCTCAACATATTCAAAAGACTAGTGGATTATCTATCGACCAAGCTCCAAGAGTATTGTTTGAAGATAATATTGCGTGCATAGCACAGACTAGAGAAGGATTCATAAAAAATGACAGAACAAAATATATCCCCCGAAGTTCTTCACATACACCCAGGAACTTGAAAGGAATAAGGAGATTGAAGTCAGATATATACGATCAAGTGACAATGCGGCAGATATGTTCACCAAGGCTCTTCTGACAATGGTGTTCAAGAAGCATGTACATAATATTGGGATGCATCATTTACGGGATCTTTGATGTCTTGTTCAGGGGGAGCGTGTAGTTGTACTCTTTTTCTTTATCAGGTTTTATCCCATTGGGTTTTACTGATAACGGTTTTAACTAGACAACACCGAAACATGCAAATATGTTTTTACTAAGAGTGGCTCCAAGGAGGAGTGTTATAAATAAAATATATTTATGGTGGAGCCCACTGTTACTGTTCATACCGATTTATTGTTCATATATACGGTATTGTTTACACCGATCGTATATGTGAACAACAACTTCGATATTTCTATAAATAGGCCATTTGGTTCTTCCATTTGTACACTTTCAAGAGAGAGATCAATAAGAAATAAACTTGTTCTCCATTCTCTTAAATACAGTTTTCGATTTATAGTTAACGATCTAATATCCGGGTCGTTAATATTTCTTCCGATTTCATAACAATCTCTATCTTTATCTCATTACATTCGTGTATCCGTCTAATAGATAATTGTAACTAAAAAATGAATATTTAAGCATACCTATATTCGTATATACAATACTATCCATTTAAAATTGATGTCGATTTAGGGTGTGATCTAATCTCGTTTTATTTTCCTAGATACAACTACCGCAAGTATACGGGTAAATCGTAGTGTTCTATGGTCGAACACAAGGACACGTGTGGTTTTTAGCGATAATATATATGTGTTATCAAAAATTAAACCACATATTTAACAAAATCATATATATTTTGATTCAAAAACACATTTGAAATTAAATTCTTAAAATATGAGAATATACATAGATTTATAGAAACTTTTTCAAATATACAAAATGAGTTTTAAGTTGAAAGGTTAGAATGATAATAAAAATATTATAAAACCCTATATATTTTTAGTAAATAGCTTAAAAATATAAGAGTAATTTTATATTTTTTTTATATATATACGGGTGTCCTAGGTACACATTTTTCGAAATCTCTAAAACTTGTATTCGAACCCGGTTTTCCCTCTTTAATATTTATCTTCGTTTTCATTGAGTATTGAGTATCTGTTTTTCGAGTACTCACGAGACTGGATATTCGTAAAGCCACGAGTAACGGGTTTAAATATCCAGCCCTATATATATATAAGACAAGTTATGTTTTGATTAAACTTTAACAAATATATGTTCCGACGCATACATTGATAGATTCCGACCTAAACCAAACATGCTTCGTTGTATGTTCGGACGCAATACCAACATGTTTAGATGCAAAGTCGATATATTCATACGCAACCCCAACATGTTGAGACGCAATCCCTACGTGTTTCGATGCAATCCTAACAGGTTCCGACGCAATTCCAAACTCGATAACGAACCGTGAAACCCATTGATTTTTACTTGGCTTTTATATTTATATTGTATTCATTATCATATAACTCCACATACATCCCCATACAACTACCCTGTGTTCGACTTCGTATTGCGACGATATATTCTTTTACGGTAAGTCGCAAAATCGGATTCGATATCTGAGATTTGGTGCGAGACCAATTTTATTCTTAAAAGTTAGGGTTTTTCTCTAAATTTCACAATTTTTATTTGCCGTTAATGGGCTTTTATGTTGAGCATAAGATTAAGCACTCAGTCGCCTTTTTTCATCAGCCAACCCTAATTAACGGAGGAACTCTAAGCCCTAATTAACACCTTTTGTTGACTTGAAAGTTCTATACAAAACGAACCCAAACGAAGATTTTTTTTAAAAAAACACATGGCATGACTTGCTAACACATCCACCCACAAAAAACACACAAAGACGCTAAAATTTTCATGTCCGAATCAAGAACAGTCTTTCAAAATGTCCGAGACCATAAACCTTTGCTCTTCACTCAACTTCTCTGGAAACTTCACCAGAAACGTTATTCTCAAATCACCTCTCTTGCCTCCTTCTTTAGCATTTGGCATTCCTTGCCCTTTGATAGCCTTTTCAAACCCATGGAAGATCACTTCTCCGATCGATAACGCCATCTTCTCGCCGTTTAATAACGGTACGGAGAGCGTGCAGCCCGTTAGAGCCTTGAGAAGAGGTATCTCTACCGCTATCTCGAGGTCATCCCCTCGTCTTTTGAACAGAGGATGCCTCTTTTCTTCGATCGAGAAGGTGATATCTTCAGGGAGATAACCCGGTTTCTCGTTCCCTTTCCCTTCGAATGTGATCTTCGTTCCTTTCTTCCATCCCGGTTTGATGTTTATTCTTAACGTTTCTTCTTCTTGGACGATCAACCTGTCAAGGAAAACCATCCATAGTGTGATCCGATCATTCTCTCATGATTGACTTTAAAGGAGAGAAAAAGAGACGGACCCTTCATCGGTTATGACGTCTCTTGCGATCTTGATGTTCTTGACACCGCCATGGCAGAGCTCCTCCAACGTGCACTCAAGCTTTCTCTCTATGGGCGGCGGCTTTCTCCTTGCCACCGAGTGCGAGAAAACTATCGGAGTAGGGCTTCTACGGCTCACGGCTCTCCCCATTGTCGCCCCTGCGGATGCATCCTTTCTCATACTCGTGCTCTTCGACAGTGGCACTGAACCTTCTCTTTCTCTTCTGCTAACGTTCTTGGAGAACATGGGAGACGATGAAGTCACACCGTTTATCGGGCTAGGGCTTCTGGAGAGGTTATTGAGAGGCGATGATGGCGAGGAAAGGCCCTTGATGGGGCTAACGAAGGCGTGATCCTTCTCCTTCGGGCTCGAGAAAGGCGAGGCCATCGGGCTAGCATTCTCGGAGAAAGGCCGAGACTTGAGGCCCCTCATCTTACCGCCGCCATGGCTGCTGCCTCCTTCTCCTCCATCGTCACCTCGTCGGCTGATGCTCCGGTGAAAGGAGGCGGTGGAGCCATGGCGGCTGGGAGATGAGGGGGAGAGGG